TCTATAAGCTTCGAAGTAGAAATTGAATTTTTATTGACTACACATACAAGGAGATTGATGATATGGTAAGAGAAGACAACATATACAATGATATGGTGATATGACACCAACGACACCATTTTGACCTTGTAAGCAACGAACACAACTAGATAAAGGAAATTTAAATAAACAGCTAGAATGGGGAAATTGGACTATAGAGGCTGCCACCAAAAGTTATGCATGGAAGAAAAGACAATAAAAAATATAAACCAAAATCCTTACTAGAGTAGAAACACGATGAGAGTAGCCAGGAGGAACTTAGCTACAATAACCAGTGTAAGAAATAACATATGATATTAGTTTGTACTGATTAACATATATTAACGAGAAATCATAATTTAAACAAGATGTCCCTCTCGTGATACAATCTTAAAGTGGGCAACATTGGAAAAATGAATGAGTCTTATCATAAAACAGGACAGAAAATGAGAATCACTGAACAACAATCAAATTATCAAAGAAATGGGAAAATGGAGGTGAAATTAAATTAGCATTTCTCTTTCAAGGACTTCATTTTGGTGAAAATAGGAGAAAAGGGGCAAAGCTACCATGATATTCAAACTGAAAAAATTGAACAGAGAAATGCAAAACAAGTAAAAGAACTAAAGCAGTTCTTCAGTTTATGAACTCAACTGTACTAATTACCCGAATCTAGAGCCATATGTTAATTTCCAAGGATAACTTATAACCAAGAATAAAATTGGTAATGAGCCTAATCTATTGCCAAGGAATTCAACTCCCAAAGGAAAAAATACTCCATATAAATGAGTATACTTTCATGATGCAAAACCTATTGGCTCTTCCTCTTATCCCTCAATCCGACCATAATCTAAACCGCAATATTCTCATTGATCAATTACACATACAACATCCTCTACCAGATTTGTTGTCAGTTTATATGTCAAAAATTCTCACATTAAAATGAATTAAAAAAAAAAACAAAGGTGTTGAACCCAAACAGATATAAGTTCAAATGTCCTATATTTAAAGAGCTTGAAAGCTACACAATGACCAAACCAATTGAAGAACCAAAAGATTAGCAAATCAGAAACAGAGACATGAAAATGAATTAAAACAAAATATAAATATAAATTGGGGACATGGTCTTCTAATTATTGTCGCTGAAGTAGAAGTAATGGATGATTAGGTTGGTGAATATTCTCTCGTAGAGATGTCAGAGAAGTAAATCAAATATTTGATCTTTAATTCCAAAAAACCGGTACTCAAATAATGTATTTATGAAATCAATAAATAAATGTGGTTTAAACCCATATCCGAATCTGTCTAAATGATGTGAATTAATATATACTAGGTTTTTTTTTCTTTATATGTTATAAGATTCAAACTTAAATCATGAATTATTGTCTATAATGCATAAATCATGGTGAAGAAGAGTCATATGTATGTCTCATATTGCATCTGAAGTTATATACTATAACAAAATATAAAATTAGATAAGTCAAATAAATGGACCGTCTCATCATACTTCATCATACTAGTAATCATGTGCGTTCATCAATCTTTCATGTCATGTAAATAACTTTACACTAAGTTGTTAAATATTGTGTAATATGTTAAATTGAAAATTCCGTATATAACCTTTAATGCATCGACAGTTAGTGTGTTGTGCATAAAAATATTGAAAGCTCTTATATTAAATAATCAAACAGCAACAATTAAATTGGTGAGAAACCAACAATGTCATAACAGATAGAAAACAAAATAGATTTGATCGTTGACACCTTAAAAGTTACAAGACAACATTACGAGTGAATCTGTCATAACATATAGAAAATTTAGGAAAGAAAAATACACAAGACTTCGAGATTAAACCTTCAAAAATGACAAAAGCTTCTTAAAGCCCCGACTTGCAGTGCTTTTCTTTTGGCAAAAAAAAAACTCCAAATTAATTTGCTCATTAGAAATGAATAATTCAAATAAATTCAAAAAATTATAGAATTTCGATATTCATATGAATTGAGCAAAATTAAAATTTCAATACTAATGATTTTCTCTCAGTTCCCTGGCTCAATTGTACTTTGTCCACAGGACAGTTTTGTGCTTTCCCGACGTTGAGTCTCAAGCTCATCTATTTCAGCACTGTGATAAGGCTTGGAAAGTACTGACGGTTTACTTGATAATTTATTATTTCCTACTTCCTGGGTTATTCTTCTAGTTCTTGAGGGCTTGGAGAGAAACGCAAGATCTTTAAGGATCACTTCTTGCATTTTCTGTTTATTTGAGACTTATGGTTTTTCTTTCATCTCTTTGGGCCAAGCCACATGGTCCTTCTAAATATATGTCTTATTTATCTTTACATAGACATGCCCTGCCTATCCTCCATTCAGCTGTTTTTTCTCTTTTGGTGTTTGAGGGCCTTTCTCCTTTAATTTGCTTGCTCTTTCTCCTTTGGGGGACATCTACTCCTCCCCTACTGTAGCACCCGGAAAGGAGGAAAAAAAAAAAAAAAAAAAAAAAAAAAAAAAAAAGGGGGGGCCACGTCAGCAGCCACGTCAGCAGGCCCGGTCAGCAGTCCCGGCCAACCAGGGCCTGCCACGTAGCAAGATCGCGTCACTCCGAAAGGAGCCACGTTGGCGATCCGCGTGGGTGCGATCCGACGGCCCAGATCAATCACACGATCGGACGGCCCAGATTCAAACGCACGGACGGCCTAGATTCAATCAAAAACGAACGGCCCAGATTAAAACGAAATGAACGGCTGTGATCAAAAGGCAAGGGGTTATAAATAGAACCCCCACACCAGACCACAAACCCTAGCCGCCAGCCGCTCGCCGGAGAAGACGAACCAGAGGCCGACCGCCGCCACCCGCCGCCACTCGCCGCCGCACCGGGGAAATTTCCGACCGCCGATCGAGGTAAATTTCATACCCCCGACTCGTTTTTCCCCGCTGATTCCTCCTATGGCCAAAACGAGGCCGAAATCCCGGCCAAACGGCCGGAATACGCGGCCGAAGCCCAGCGGCGCCGCCGCGCCCCCTCTCGGTTTTTGCCTCCGACGAGGCCCTTCCCGGCCTCCGTTCGATGCAATTTTTATATCACCGTGATCACCATTCTTTTCTCTACAGGTTGACCGGAGCCGAATCACCAAAACACGAACCTCGCCGGAGAGCCGCTGCACCCGAGAGCGCCGCCGCCGGTAAGCTCCGTTTTTCCGTATTTTTTGGCCCCCCGAGGGCCCTAGGGTTGTTTTCTGACAAGGACCAATGCGAGCGTGGCCGAATTCGGCCGAAAACGG